AGACAGTGTAGTGTGAGACAGTGTAGTGTGAGACAGTGTAGTGTGAGACAGTGTAGTGTGAGACAGTGTTGTGTGAGACAGTGTAGTGTGAGACAGTGTAGTGTGAGACAGTGTAGTGTGAGATAGTGTAGTGTGAGGCAGTGTAGTGTGAGACAGTGTAGTGTGAGACAGTGTAGTGTGAGACAGTGTTGTGTGAGACAGTGTAGTTTGAGACAGTGTAGTGTGAGACAGTGTAGTGTGAGACAGTGTAGTGTGAGACAGTGTTGTGTGAGACAGTGTAGTGTGAGACAGTGTAGTGTGAGACAGTGTAGTGTGAGACAGTGTAGTGTGAGACAGTGTAGTATGAGACAGTGTTGTGTGAGACAGTGTAGTGTGAGACAGTGTAGTGTGAGACAGTGTAGTGTGAGACAGTGTAGTATGAGACAGTGTTGTGTGAGACAGTGTAGTGTGAGACAGTGTAGTGTGAGACAGTGTAGTATGAGACAGTGTTGTGTGAGACAGTGTAGTGTGAGACAGTGTAGTGTGAGACAGTGTAGTGTGAGACAGTGTAGTGTGAGACAGTGTAGTGTGAGATAGTGTAGTGTGAGACAGTGTAGTGTGAGACAGTGTAGTGTGAGACAGTGTAGTGTGAGACAGTGTAGTGTGAGACTGTGTAGTGTGAGACAGTGTAGTGTGAGACAGTGTAGTGTGAGACAGTGTAGTGTGAGACAGTGTAGTGTGAGACAGTGTAGTGTGAGACAGTGTAGTGTGAGACAGTGTAGAGTGAGACAGTGTAGTGTGAGACAGTGTAGTGTGAGACAGTGTAGTGTGAGACAGTGTAGTGTGAGACAGTGTTGTATCATGGGATAATGTATGGAACAAGTAAGTTTAATTCTGTTCATAAAGTTGTTCATCCTAGTGGTTTTCTCAGTGGTTTTCTCAGTGGTTATCCCAGTAATTATGCGACTGGTTGCACCAGTGGTTACACCAATGGTTATCCCAGTGGTTATACCAGTGGTTATAATACTATAAAGTATTCCTGACCTAAGGAAGAGAGTGCATAACTTGACTGTAAGTGACGTTGAGTGTATCCCTCAGAGAGCAGTTACTGGAGAGTGACGTTGTGTGTATCCCTCAGAGAGCAGTTACTGGAGAGTGACGTTGAGTGTATCCCTCAGAGAGCAGTTACTGGAAAGTGATGACGTTGAGTGTATCCCTCAGAGAGCAGTTACTGGAGAGTGACGTTGAGTGTATCCCTCAGAGAGCAGTTACTGGAGAGTGATGACGTTGTGTGTATCCCTCAGAGAGCAGTTACTGGAGAGTGATGACGTTGTGTGTATCCCTCAGAGAGCAGTTACTGGAGAGTGATGACGTTGTGTGTATCCCTCAGAGAGCAGTTACTGGAGAGTGATGACGTTGTGTGTATCCCTCAGAGAGCAGTTACTGGAGAGTGATGACGTTGTGTGTATCCCTCAGAGAGCAGTTACTGGAGAGTGATGACGTTGTGTGTATCCCTCAGAGAGCAGTTACTGGAGAGTGATGACGTTGTGTGTATCCCTCAGAGAGCAGTTACTGGAGAGTGATGACGTTGTGTGTATCCCTCAGAGAGCAGTTACTGGAGAGTGATGACGTTGTGTGTATCCCTCAGAGAGCAGTTACTGGAGAGTGATGACGTTGTGTGTATCCCTCAGAGAGCAGTTACTGGAGAGTGATGACGTTGTGTGTATCCCTCAGAGAGCAGTTACTGGAGAGTGATGACGTTGTGTGTATCCCTCAGAGAGCAGTTACTGGAGAGTGATGACGTTGTGTGTATCCCTCAGAGAGCAGTTACTGGAGAGTGATGACGTTGTGTGTATCCCTCAGAGAGCAGTTACTGGAGAGTGATGACGTTGTGTGTATCCCTCAGAGAGCAGTTACTGGAGAGTGATGACGTTGTGTGTATCCCTCAGAGAGCAGTTACTGGAGAGTGATGACGTTGTGTGTATCCCACAGAGAGCAGTTACTGGAGAGTGATGACGTTGGGTGTATCCCTCAGAGAGCAGTTACTGGAGAGTGATGACGTTGTGTGTATCCCTCAGAGAGCAGTTACTGGAGAGTGATGACGTTGTGTGTATCCCTCAGAGAGCAGTTATTGGAGAGTGATGACGTTGTGTGTATCCCTCAGAGAGCAGTTACTGGAGAGTGAGGACGTTGTGTGTATCCCTCAGAGAGCAGTTACTGGAGAGTGATGACGTTGAGTGTATCCCTCAGAGAGCAGTTACTGGAGAGTGACGTTGTGTGTATCCCTCAGAGAGCAGTTACTGGAGAGTGATGACGTTGTGTGTATCCCTCAGAGAGCAGTTACTGGAGAGTGATGACGTTGAGTGTATCCCTCAGAGAGCAGTTACTGGAGAGTGACGTTGTGTGTATCCCTCAGAGAGCAGTTACTGGAGAGTGATGACGTTGAGTGTATCCCTCAGAGAGCAGTTACTGGAGAGTGACGTTGTGTGTATCCCTCAGAGAGCAGTTACTGGAGAGTGATGACGTTGAGTGTATCCCTCAGAGAGCAGTTACTGGAGAGTGACGTTGAGTGTATCCCTCAGAGAGCAGTTACTGGAGAGTGACGTTGTGTGTATCCCTCAGAGAGCAGTTACTGGAGAGTGACGTTGTGTGTATCCCTCAGAGAGCAGTTACTGGAGAGTGACGTTGAGTGTATCCCTCAGAGAGCAGTTACTGGAGAGTGACGTTGAGTGTATCCCTCAGAGAGCAGTTACTGGAGAGTGATGACGTTGAGTGTATCCCTCAGAGAGCAGTTACTGGAGAGTGACGTTGTGTGTATCCCTCAGAGAGCAGTTACTGGAGAGTGATGACGTTGAGTGTATCCCTCAGAGAGCAGTTACTGGAGAGTGACGTTGTGTGTATCCCTCAGAGAGCAGTTACTGGAGAGTGATGACGTTGAGTGTATCCCTCAGAGAGCAGTTACTGGAGAGTGATGACGTTGAGTGTATCCCTCAGAGAGCAGTTACTGGGGAGTGACGTTGTGTGTATCCCTCAGAGAGCAGTTACTGGAGAGTGATGACGTTGTGTGTATCCCTCAGAGAGCAGTTACTGGAGAGTGATGACGTTGTGTGTATCCCTCAGAGAGCAGTTACTGGAGAGTGATGACGTTGTGTGTATCCCTCAGAGAGCAGTTACTGGAGAGTGATGACGTTGTGTGTATCCCTCAGAGAGCAGTTACTGGAGAGTGATGACGTTGTGTGTATCCCTCAGAGAGCAGTTACTGGAGAGTGATGACGTTGAGTGTATCCCTCAGAGAGCAGTTACTGGAGAGTGATAACGTTGTGTGTATCCCTCAGAGAGCAGTTACTGGAGAGTGATGACGTTGAGTGTATCCCTCAGAGAGCAGTTACTGGAGAGTGACGTTGAGTGTATCCCTCAGAGAGCAGTTACTGGAGAGTGATGACGTTGAGTGTATCCCTCAGAGAGCAGTTACTGGAGAGTGATGACGTTGTGTGTATCCCTCAGAGAGCAGTTACTGGAGAGTGATGACGTTGAGTGTATCCCTCAGAGAGCAGTTACTGGAGAGTGATGACGTTGAGTGTATCCCTCAGAGAGCAGTTAGTGGAGATTGACGTTGAGTGTATCCCTCAGAGAGCAGTTACTGGAGAGTGATAACGTTGTGTGTATCCCTCAGAGAGCAGTTACTGGAGAGTGATGACGTTGAGTGTATCCCTCAGAGAGCAGTTACTGGAGAGTGACGTTGAGTGTATCCCTCAGAGAGCAGTTACTGGAGAGTGATAACGTTGTGTGTATCCCTCAGAGAGCAGTTACTGGAGAGTGATGACGTTGTGTGTATCCCTCAGAGAGCAGTTATTGGAGAGTGATGACGTTGTGTGTATCCCTCAGAGAGCAGTTACTGGAGAGTGATGACGTTGTGTGTATCCCTCAGAGAGCAGTTACTGGAGAGTGATGACGTTGTGTGTATCCCTCAGAGAGCAGTTACTGGAGAGTGATGACGTTGTGTGTATCCCTCAGAGAGCCGTTACTGGAGAGTGATGACGTTGAGTGTATCCCTCAGAGAGCAGTTACTGGAGAGTGATAACGTTGTGTGTATCCCTCAGAGAGCAGTTACTGGAGAGTGATGACGTTGAGTGTATCCCTCAGAGAGCAGTTACTGGAGAGTGACGTTGAGTGTATCCCTCAGAGAGCATTACTGGAGAGTGATGACGTTGAGTGTATCCCTCAGAGAGCAGTTACTGGAGAGTGATGACGTTGTGTGTATCCCTCAGAGAGCAGTTACTGGAGAGTGATGACGTTGAGTGTATCCCTCAGAGAGCAGTTACTGGAGAGTGATGACGTTGAGTGTATCCCTCAGAGAGCAGTTAGTGGAGATTGACGTTGAGTGTATCCCTCAGAGAGCAGTTACTGGAGAGTGATAACGTTGTGTGTATCCCTCAGAGAGCAGTTACTGGAGAGTGATGACGTTGAGTGTATCCCTCAGAGAGCAGTTACTGGAGAGTGACGTTGAGTGTATCCCTCAGAGAGCAGTTACTGGAGAGTGATAACGTTGTGTGTATCCCTCAGAGAGCAGTTACTGGAGAGTGACGTTGAGTGTATCCCTCAGAGAGCAGTTACTGGAGAGTGATAACGTTGTGTGTATCCCTCAGAGAGCAGTTACTGGAGAGTGATGACGTTGAGTGTATCCCTCAGAGAGCAGTTACTGGAGAGTGACGTTGAGTGTATCCCTCAGAGAGCAGTTACTGGAGAGTGATGACGTTGAGTGTATCCCTCAGAGAGCAGTTACTGGAGAGTGACGTTGAGTGTATCCCTCAGAGAGCAGTTACTGGAGAGTGATGACGTTGAGTGTATCCCTCAGAGAGCAGTTACTGGAGAGTGATGACGTTGAGTGTATCCCTCAGAGAGCAGTTACTGGAGAGTGACGTTGTGTGTATTCCTCAGAGAGCAGTTACTGGAGAGTGATGACGTTGAGTGTATCCCTCAGAGAGCAGTTACTGGAGAGTGACGTTGAGTGTATCCCTCAGAGAGCAGTTACTGGAGAGGTCTAGCACAGACTGTGGATGTTGAACTTCGAGCAGTGAGTCAGCAAGTGCCAGTGTTGGCTGTACTGCCAACATCACCAACGCTACACAACATTACCAGACTCTACAACCTTACTGCTACACCTTCTATCAAAGGTAAGTGACCACACTCTTACAACACTCTTACAACACTGTTACAACACTGTTACAACAATGTTACAACACTGTGTCAACACTGTGTCAACACTGTTACAACACTGTGTCAACACTGTTACAACACTGTTACAACACTGTGTCAACACTGTTACAACACTGTTACAACACTGTGTCAACACTGTGTCAACACTGTTACAACACTGTTGCAACACTGTGTCAACACTGTTACAACACTGTCAACACACACCACACTGTTACAACACTGCATCAACACTGTTACAGCACTGTTACAACACTGTTACAACACTGTTACAACACTGTGTCAACACTGTTACAACACTGTTACAACAATGTTACAACACTGTTACAACACTTTGTCAACACTGTTACAACACTGTGTCAACACTCTGTTACAACACTGTGTCAACACTGTTACAACACTGTGTCAACACTGTGTCAACATTACAACACTGTGTCAACACTGTTACAACACTGTTACAACACTGTGTCAACACTGTTACAACACTGTTACAACACTGTGTCAACACTGTTACAACACTGTTACAACAATGTTACAACACTGTTACAGCACTTTGTCAACACTGTTACAGCACTGTGTCAACACTGTGTCAACATTACAACACTGTGTCAACACTGTTACAACACTGTTACAACACTGCATCAACACTGTTACAACACTGCATCAACACTGTTACAGCACTGTGTCAACACTCTGTTACAACACTGTGTCAACACTGTTACAACACTGCATCAACACTGTTACAGCACTGTGTCAACACTCTGTTACAACACTGTGTCAACACTGTTACAACACTGTGTCAACACTGTTACAACACTGTGTCAACACTGTTACAACACTGTATCAACACTGTTACAACACTGTGTCAACACTGTTACAACACTGTATCAACACTGTTACAACACTGTGTCAACACTGCTACAACACTGTGTCAACACTGTTACAACACTGTATCAACACTGTTACAATACTGTATCAACACTGTTACAACACTGTGTCAACACTGTTACAACACTTTATCAACACTGTTACAACACTGTGTCAACACTGTTACAACACTGTGTCAACACTGTTACAACACTATGTCAACACTATTACACCACTGTGTCAACACTATTACAACACACTGTTACAACACTGTGTCAACACTGTTACAACACTGTGTCAACACTGTTACAACACTGTGTCAACACTGTTACAACACTGTGTCAACACTATTACACCACTGTGTCAACACACACCACACTGTTACCATATTGTGTTACCACACTGTCACCATACACTGTGTGTGACGTTTGTCAATACAGCAGGTTAAGCTAGCTCCAGTTCCTTGGATAAAAAGCCTTTAATCTTTCCCGAGGCATCCCCTGCCCTCCTGCATGTAAGAAAGCCAGGGATAAACTAGAGTGAATATATCCGCAGGGCTTTAAAAAATATATCGGCAGCTTTATATTCATAAGTTGGAATTGGTGAGCTTGTTCAGGTGGTTCAACACACAGGTGAACATAAGATGAAGTTCAATAAGACAGGTGGTAGGTGCACACACGACCACCTCAGTGTTGAGACTGCTGGAACAACACTGAGGTGGTAGGTGCACACACGACCACCTCAGTGTTGAGACTGCTGGAACAACACTGAGGTGGTAGGTGCACACACGACCACCTCAGTGTTGAGACTGCTGGAACAACACTGAGGTGGTAGGTGCACACACGACCACCTCAGTGTTAAGAGTGCTGGAACAACACTGTAGGCTGGTGTGTGCCAGACTCTGTCTGGTAAGATAGAGGGAATATCTCACACACAGTTAACATGGGTTAACATGTTAACATTGGGTTAACATGTTAACTGGTAGTTTTCAATGAGCTTTATCAAGAACTTGCTAAGAAAAGGTTGTTCAGGGGTCGTAACCTTGTATAAGTAAACACTTCGTCGATATACGCTTCTTTCCACCGTCACTTGTCATCTTACGGACAACAATAATTCCACATAAAAAGAGTTTTAAAAAGTTATATACAGGATCAATTTCTTCCACGAGGAGAATCCAGGAGGCTTCCATTCCATGATTAGTTCAATCTGCAGAGAGGAAGGTGCTGACCTAACATCTATTACTCACTAACAATGTTGTCGATGCTTCCAGGCCTCCCACGCCAGAGTTTTTTTTTTCCCCCAAATATTTTCGTTCAGCGGGGTGCAGTCTGCAGTCCTGACTTGTATTTATGACTGCTATTTTTCTCTCTTTGTTAGCGTGTTTTAGGACGCTGAATAAGGGAAAATCTATGAGATATGACTGTTTAGAAGTGAGATAAGATGGCTTTATTTATCAGGCTTACATAGTGGAGATGTAAACAACGTGGATGTGACGCTGTCCGTGACCGGGATGGAAGAGAGAAGGATGGGAATGAGGGAAGCATAGATGTGAGGGAAGAATAGAGGGGCGGAGAGAAGGTTAGAGCAGTGAGGAGGGAGGGAGGAAGGAATACTGGAAGGTCAGGAATGATCATCTTGGGAGTCGTTAGGTGAAAATTTCGTGTCTGCTGACACACGTACTGTGTCTGTTACCTAGCTATCGTCTGTCCTAGCAGTGCTGCGTGTTACCTAGCTACCATATAGCCTAGCAGTGCTGCGTGTTACATAGCTATCAGATGTCCTAGCAAGGTCGCAAGACTCCCAACTAAGCATTGTTTGCTTTGGGACATTGTTGCATTACCCCAGCCACACGAGGTTCTTAGGTGTGTTGTGAACTGTTAGTAATGTGTGTGTGTGTGTGTGTGAGTGTGTGTGTGTGTGTGTGTGTGTGTGTGTGTGTGTGTGTGTGTGTGTGTGTGTGTGTGTGTGTGCGTGTGTGTGTGTATGTGTGTGTGTGTGTGTGTGTGTGTGTGTGTGTGTGTGTGTGTGTGTGTGTGTGTGTGTGTGTGTGTGTGTGTGTGTGTGTGTGTGTGTGTGTGTGTGTGTCATAACCTCTCCTACTTCCAGTTCATTCCACTCATCTAACACTCTGAGGCTAAAAGCAATACTTTCTTATGCTGTTACGCCTTGTATGTCTTAGTTGTGGTCACCTGTGTCTGGTCCCTGACCCTCGTAAAACATCTCTCTCACCTTTACCATCTGTCATCTACTGTGTGACCACTGCTGCTCCCGTGTTACACACTGTATGACCACTGCTGCTCCCGTGTTACACACTGTATGACCACTGCTGCTCCCGTGTTACACACTGTATGACCACTGCTGCTCCCGTGTTACACGCTTTATGACCACTGCTGCTCCCGTGTTACACACTGTATGACCACTGCTGCTCCCGTGTTACACGCTTTATGACCACTGCTGCTCCAGTGTTACACACTGTATGACCACTGCTGCTCCCGTGTTACACACTGTATGACCACTGCTGCTCCCGTGTTACACACTGTATGACCACTGCTGCTCCCGTGTTACACACTGTGTGACCCCTGCTGCTGCAGTGTTACACACTGTGTGACCCCTGCTGCTGCAGTGTTACACACTGTGTGACCCCTGCTGCTGCAGTGTTACACACTGTATGACCACTGCTGCTGCAGTGTTACACACTGTATGACCACTGCTGCTCCAGTGTTACACGCTGTGTGACCACTGCTGCTGCAGTGTTACACACTGTGTGACCACTGCTGCTCCAGTGTTACACACTGTATGACCACTGCTGCTGCAGTGTTACATACTGTATGACCACTGCTGCTCCAGTGTTACACACTGTGTGACCACTGCTGCTCCAGTGTTACACACTGTATGACCACTGCTGCTGCAGTGTTACACACTGTATGACCACTGCTGCTCCAGTGTTACATACTGTATGACCACTGCTGCTCCAGTGTTAAATACTGTATGACCACTGCTGCTGCAGTGTTACACACTGTATGACCACTGCTGCTCCCATGTTACACACTGTGTGACCACTGCTGCTCCAGTGTTACATACTGTATGACCACTGCTGCTCCCATGTTACACACTGTGTGACCCCTGCTGCTGCAGTGTTACACACTGTGTGACCCCTGCTGCTGCAGTGTTACACACTGTGTGACCACTACTGCTGCAGTGTTACACACTGTGTGACCACTGCTGCTGCAGTGTTGCACACTGTGTGACCCCTGCTGCTGCAGTGTTACACACTGTGTGACCACTGCTGCTGCAGTGTTACACACTGTGTGACCACTGCTGCTGCAGTGTTACACACTGTGTGACCACTGCTGCTGCAGTGTTACACACTGTGTGACCCCTGCTGCTGCAGTGTTACACACTGTGTGACCACTGCTGCTGCAGTGTTACACACTGTGTGACCACTGCTGCTCCCACTTTATGGCCACATCTGGTGATATGTTTTATGTGCTGTGGACCTCAAGACCTTTACTTAATGACTTCTACTTTCTCTGTTATGAACAATTTCTTCCCCCGTCTCTTCCTTTCCTTGTCTTCACTTCTCCCTGTTACCTTACATATATATCGCTTCAACACCACTTATTTTGTCTGTTCACGCCTCCCTGAAGTATACTACCACTCTCCACCGTGTTAATTCTGGTCATTAATCTTACATCTTCGGCAAATAAAAGCATTTATAATTTACCTCTAACAACCAGATCATTCAGGTCTATTCAGAGATACTAGAGGCTCCAGCAGCGAGCCTTGAGGCACTCCCGTGCCAGTCTTGGCGGACCGCTGCTCGCTAGCTCCTAGCCTGACCTGACCTCGGGTCAGCCAGCATGACACTAGAGCTGCCTCACTATAGCTGTAGCTGTAGCTATGAGGGATTAAGTACCTCATCTTCAGTATATAGTTCTACCGTCTTCCCATTATGTCCTTGAATTTATATTGATAAAGCCACTGGATGGCGAAACGTCTACAATAAAGATACCCTGATGTTACACATGTGTCTAATTTTCTTGGTCAGGGTGGAAGCAGCGTCTCGTCAGCTCTGTCTGACCTGGTATTACGAGCGCATTAACCTACCATAAGGACCTCAGTAAACCTGCAATGCTCTACCTAAGTTTGGTTTTATCTTGATAGGTACCAAGTACCTAGTGTAGTACTGTCTTGCTAGGTACCAAGTACCTAGTGTAGTACTGTCTTGCTAGGTACCAAGTACCTAGTGTAGTACTGTCTTGCTAGGTACCAAGTACCTAGTGTAGTACTGTCTTGCTAGGTACCAAGTACCTAGTGTAGTACTGTCTTGCTAGGTACCAAGTGCCTAGTGTAGTACTGTCCTTGCTAGGTACCAAGTACCTAGTGTAGTACTGTCTTGCTAGGTACCAAGTACCTAGTGTAGTACTGTCTTGCTAGGTACCAAGTACCTAGTGTAGTACTGTCTTGCTAGGTACCAAGTACCTAGTGTAGTACTGTCTTTCTAGGTACCAAGTACCTAGTGTAGTACTGTCTTGCTAGGTACCAAGTACCTAGTGTAGTACTGTCTTGCTAGGTACCAAGTACCTAGAGTAGTACTGTCTTGCTAGGTACCAAGTACCTAGTGTAGTACTGTCTTGCTAGGTACCAAGTACCTAGTGTAGTACTGTCTTGCTAGGTACCAAGTACCTAGTGTAGTACTGTCTTGCTAGGTACCAAGTACCTAGTGTAGTACTGTCTTGCTAGGTACCAAGCACCTAGTGTAGTACTGTCTTGCTAGGTACCAAGTACCTAGTGTAGTACTGTCTTGCTAGGTACCAAGTACCTAGTGTAGTACTGTCTTGCTAGGTACCAAGTACCTAGTGTAGTGGCGAGGTACTGTATCACAGCATCTCTACAATGGAGGAAGGTACACTCCTCCAGTCCTATTGTTTTTGTTGTTGTATTTCATATTGTGTGGCGGTTCTGCAGGAAAATCTCCCAGGCAGGATTTCCCGTCCCTAAATCCGTGTTTGTCCTCCTCAGGTAAATCCTCCCTTCATTACCCGCTAAACTAACCTCTTCCTCACAAGTTTGTCAGGACCGTTTGATGTTGTATATGACTGTGTGTGTGTGTGTGTGTATGTGTGTGTGTGTGTGTGTGTGTGTGTGTGTGTGTGTGTGTGTTTCTCCATCTCTGATCCAGCACCTCAGTAAAGATCTCTCATCTCAGCTCCAGTTCCTCGACTGATCCCATCCATCTCAGCCAGCTTCCTGAGATGGCAAATCGATGCTCTTTTGTTCTGACTTTATTTGGAATTGGATATCTCTATTTTTAGCAAAACAATCCAATTGTCTTCTGGCTGCATGAAAGGCGGTGCTGGAGTGGCGTTTAAGATCTCTTGAATAAAGGTGAATAAATCAGTATCTTGTAGCACTCTGCTCTCTTGTTGCTTCGTAAACATTCCGATTCCAATTTATTTGGTATTCGATCTCTTTTCTGCCAGAAATAAAGAGTATTAATTCTCCTCTGCATTATGAGAGAGAGATATGTGACTTGGAGAGCATAGTAGTGTTTTCCTGCTATAACTAAGACAGTCTCCAGGTCTTTGACCCTGTAAAAATGGTTATACATTTAAAATCTCTTTATTTCTTTTTCAATGTTTTCATCTGATGTTTATATATTTTTTTCATTGTTTGGATGCAAGGTTTCATAGTGTTTGGGTCTCGCATTTTTTTTCCTCAGTGTGTGTCCGACGTTTATACTTTTTCTCAGTGATTGGGTCTCTCGTTTATGCATTTTTGTCATTGTTTCGGTCTGTCGTTTATACTTGTTTCTCAGTGTTTAGGTCTGTCATTTATATTTTTTCGTCAGTGTTTAGGTCTGTCATTTATACTCTTTCGTCAGTGTTTGGGTCTGTCATTTATAGTCTTTCGTTAGTGTTTAGGTCTATCGTTTATACTCTTTCGTTAGTGTTTAGGTCTGTCATTTATACTCTTTCGTCAGTGTTTGGGTCTGTCATTTATCCTCTTTCGTCAGTGTTTGGGTCTGTCATTTATACTCTTTCGTCAGTGTTTGGGTCTGTCGTTTATACTTTTTCGTCAATGTTTAGGTCTGTCGTTTATACTCTTTCATCAGTGTTTGGGTCTGTCGTTTATATTCTTTCGTCATTGTTTGGGTCTGTCATTTATACTCTTTCGTCAGTGTTTGGGTCTGTCGTTTATACTTTTTCGTCAGTGTTTGGGTCTGTCATATATACTTTTTCGTCAGTGTTTGGGTCTGTCGTTTATACTTTTTCTGTGTTTCGGCCTCTCGAGTATACTTTTTTGTCTCGTTGTTTGGGTTTGACGTATATATTGAATTCTCAGAGGTGCCAGTTGTTCCGCATAAAATATTTTGACATTATTTCTTGGTGTTTCTCCTGCGCAACAATGGTCATGTCCTCACATATTTGTCGACGGGAAAGTCCATTGTCTTTCTTTTGTTTTTTGGTATGCGGATATGTTGACTTTCTCGCCCTTAAACTGTCTCTCACTCTCGTTAGCTCACTAGACCACTGTTATTATTTCTCCTTTACATGCTGTTTGGAAACAAAGCTAAAAATATGTATTTCAACATGAAAAACGTATAATTTTCATATATACGGGCAAAATGGAGGAAAAATACTTTGAGATACACCCTGACTGCAACATGAAATTAAGTTAACTTCCAAGAACACATTACTTTGTTCCTCAAACAACATTACTCACTCTCCACTAGTCTATCATAAACTCACTTGTGTGAGTTGTGCTTGAAGATCTACTACAACAAATCACATAAAACCCATTGTTACCCAAGAGTAATGAGCTATTAATCAGTCACACGAGTTAGGTTGTAGATAACAAACATCCCCAGTATTCAAGTCTCAACTTACTGAATGTATAACACACCCACACTTACTATTGTACATTTTATAGAGGAGAGTGAGAAGGTACGTAACCTAGCGCTCCGACTCGGCCTGGAGACTTGTAACACAAGACACAGTACAAGAAATAAGTCTCTCTGATATACCACGTCTTGAACTTGACATTTACAGAAACTTAATATTATCAATAATTATCTGTTGGTCACCTCTTGCCTTACTTTTTTGTATATTGGTGCAGTTTCCTCATTAAGTTAACGGAACTTACCTTCAGACTCCTCTCTCAGTTGGCTCTTCAGGACAACTGTTATCATATCTAATTAACCCCATCCATTACCTTCACTTACCTTGTTTTTTCCCCTCTTTTTTTTTTGTTTAATTTTCGTCTGTGTGTGTGTGTGTGTGTGTGTGTGTGTGTGTGTGTGTGTGTGTGTGTGTGTATGTGTGTGTGTGTGTGTACTAACCTAGTTGTACTCACCTAGTTGAGGTTGCAGGGGTCGAGTCCTAGCTCCTGGCCCCGCCTCTTCACTGGTCGCTACTAGGTCACTCTCCCTGAACCTTGAGCTTTATCGTACCTCTGCTTAAAGCTATGTATGGATCCTGCCTCCACTACATCGCTTCCCAAACTATTCCACTTACTGACTACTCTGTGACTGAAGAAATACTTCCTGACATCCCTGTGATTCATCTGTGTCTTCAACTTCCAACTGTGTCCCCTTGTTGCTGTGTCCCATCTCTGGAACATCCTGTCTTTGTCCACCTTGTCAATTCCTCTCAGTATTTTGTAAGTCGTTATCATGTCCCCCCCTATCTCTCCTGTCCTCCAGTGTCGTCAGGTTGATTTCCCTTAACCTCTCCTCGTAGGACATACCTCTTAGCTCTGGGACTAGTCTTGTTGCAAACCTTTGCACTTTCTCTAGTTTCTTTACGTGCTTGGCTAGGTGTGGGTTCCAAACTGGTGCCGCATACTCCAATATGGGCCTAACGTACACGGTGTACAGGGTCCTGAACGATTCCTTATTAAGATGTCGGAATGCTGTTCTGAGGTTTGCTAGGCGCCCATATGCTGCAGCAGTTATTTGGTTGATGTGCGCTTCAGGAGATGTGCCTTGTGTTATACTCACCCCAAGATCTTTTTCCTTGAGTGAGGTTCGTAGTATCTGGCCCCCTAGACTGTACTCGGTCTTCTTTGCCCTTCCCCAATTTTCATGACTTTGCACTTGGTGGGGTTGAACTCCAGGAGCCAATTGCTGGACCAGGTCTGCGGCCTGTCCAGATCCCTTTGTAGTTCTGCCTGGTCTTCGATCGAATGAATTCTTCTCATCAACTTCACGTCATCTGCAAACAGGGACACTTCGGAGTCTATTCCTTCCGTCATGTCGTTCACAAATACCAGAAACAGCACTGGTCCTAAGATTGACCCCTGTGGGACCCCGCTGGTGACAGGTACCCACTCTGACACCTCGCCACGTACCATGACTCGCTGCTGTCTTCCTGACAAGTATTCCCTGATCCATTGTAGTGCCTTCCCTGTTATCCCTGTGTGTGTGTGTGTGTGTGTGTGAGTGTGTGTGTGTGTACCGTACCATTGAGCATACTAAGAGTGTTGTACCATCAGCATACCTACTGGTGGTACCGTCAACATCAGCTGTAGTGGGCCAGGTGCTGCGTGTAGCAGAAGCTGAAGGAGTGACCCACCATGCGGCGTTCTTCATCCTCGACCCACTCTACGCCCCTACCCCCGCCCACACGCCCACGCCCGCCCACACCACCACCAGATACCGCCCACTGAAGCAGCTACAGGAGATGTCTACCGAAGCAGCTAGAGCAGTAATGGTCCTAGCTCCGGCCACTACAGGTCCACCCAACATGGCCGCCAGAGCTGGTAAACAAGACTTTAACATGGAAACTGATACTCACCTCTCAGCCCCACACAACATACAACTTGCTGACAATGTCAAGAGAAAAGTAAGCCCAGAAAGTCAACAAAACGGCAAGGAAAGAGTAAGAATAGTGACGCCTCAAGCAACTCCGCCACTTCCACTTAATCAATCAATAACATCAGAGGTAAGACAAAATCGTCACTTGGTAAGTTCTTATTTACATATTACATAACATACATTTTTTTTCATAATGATCTTAAGGACACACGGATGTTATTGGCATATTTATGTGGCACAATTTGTAGCTTCACTAATTAAAAGCTTCGGAAGGATATGTAAACTTGTTATTATTAAAATCTTGCAATGTTGCAGAAATAGATTAGGATATCCAGGTAGAGTCGTTGAGAGGAACGACTCTCCAGATTCTGATGAGTCGTTCCTCTAAACGAACCTGCCGGGAATTATCCTGGCCCGGGTCTTCCATGTGGTGACCGGGAAGACACAACTCCTGTATTTCTTTTCTATCCATTCATCTTGTTTCTTTGCTTGTGTTTCCTCTTGTTTCATACGCCACTTCACCTTCTTCGAAATGACCCTCACGGGTGTAAACCCGTGAGGGTTTACACAATATAAAGTCTTCTTTTATAATAATATTGATATTTATTGCTCTTCCTTTATTTAACTTTGTAGTTTTTAACAGTTTAGCAGCAACTGGCAAGTCAGGACAGTGTTTTATGTTTTAAACAGAGGATAGTACTTGAATGTTTATGATACGTTACAATGGTCTATGTTTTAACTGAAGTGTTTATGACACGTCACAATGGTCTATGTTTTAGCTGAAGTGTTTATGACACGTCACAAAGTTGTGTGTGTCTACTGAAGTGTTTACATTGTGCAGAGCGAGGAGGTGGTGGTGCGGCTGGTCTACGACAGTGTCAGTCTCCTCTCACACATCCTTAGAACCAACGTCGGCACTTTCACCCTCAGAAGGCGCTCCTACCCCAGCAGGAACCTAACAGAGGAAGATCTGAAGGCAGCACATGGTGAAGATGACAAGGAGGGACTGCCAGGAAAGAAGAAAGAAGGTGAAAAAGTTCGTGGGCGTAGATCTCCTGTTGGACCCCGTGCCAAGCACTCCTTCAGCTGGTCACCACCATCGTCACACTTCGAACTCGTCTCTCAAAGGGACCTGACTCCGGCTGACGAGACTCCCGCTCTCCCGATTCGTGATCTGAAGGGCGACATGTATTTAGCGGAGGATGAGGCCGAGAGGGAGAGGTTATACTTCGAAATGAAGAAACTGGACACTGAGAGAGAAGGAAGAGACTTCGAGAAACGCTTGGAGAGCATCATTGGCTCCCGAAGACTCAAAGAAAATTCCTTCAGCCCCCACAAGATGACAGAAGGTGGAGGCAATAACAGGACCCAGATGCTGGAGATGCAGCTCAGTAAAGCCACTTTCTTCCCCGCACTCTTGGGGGAGGGTTTTGTCTCAGCTTCAGGAGAGAGGAGCTTCGACTTTCTTGTGTTAGACTGGAGACCTGACTCACATGAGCTGGTCACAGTTCTTCACCTCACTCACCGCAACACTCACTACGTAGAGGTGAGTAACATGACTCTTCCATGATGATTAACCTTATTACTCTATAGTGTATATTCACTGTCAGGTGTACAAGTGACAGTGTATATACGCTGTCAGGTGTATAAGTCTCAGTATATATACACTGCGACATTAATCACTATTCTCTTTAATATTCTTGACTGATGGTGACACAGACATCATACTACGTTAATATTGTGCCTTGTTTTAAGGTGTCAAACTCAGCTGTCTTCCCCAGACTGGCACCAAGAGCCTGGCCAGTCAGATAACATGGTGAAGTTACCAAGCGGAGGATCAGGCCCCAACTACTACATGCTCTGAGTGACCCACACGGGTTTATCTCTCCATGCTTCATATAATTCTAATGTATTTCTTGTGTGTACGTACAGGTGTCGGAGGCTGGCGTGGGGGCCCTCCACCACATAGACTGGGCCCATGACACGCCCATACCCAGGGACCAGGAGTGTGGACCCAACACTGTCTGTGCTTACTTGGTTCCTGGTAGGTCATGTGCACATCTTGTGATTATTAAATTTTGAAGGATGTGTTGTGTTGCGGAGTGTTATGTTGCGCAGTGTGTTATGTTGTGGAGTGTGTTGTGTTGTGGAGTGTTGTGTTGTGGTATGTTGTGGAGTGTGTTGCAGTATGTTGTGAAGTGTATTGCAGTAGGTTGTGGAGTGTTGCGTTGTGGAGTGTGTTGTTTTATGTTGCGGAGTGTTGAGTGTGTTGCAGAGATATTAAGAATATACTCGGTGATGAATAAAACACATGTGCAACACCTACGTGTCTATAGTGAGAGATGTTTACCTACCACGAACTTCATGTAATACACGAGAACCCTGACCCTTGTAGTAGAACCTGGAAGGAAGAACCCTGACCCTTGTAGTGGAACATGGGAAGAACAGTGGTGCAGCAGTGCTAGATTTGCTCACATGTGGGCGGGGCCCACTAGTGCAATTATCTCAGGTCCATAAAAGGTAGGTAATCCTGTGGCTTAGGTGAGGGTGTAGGTGATCCTGTGGTTTAGGTGTAGGTGTTACTGTTGCTCAGGTGTAGGTGTTACTGTGACTCAGGTGTAGATGTTACTGTTACTCAGGTGTAGGTGTTACTGTGACTCAGGTGAGAGTGTAGGTGTTACTGTGACTCAGGTGAGAGCGTAGGTGTTCCTGGGGCTTAAGCAAGGAGCTCCACCTAACTTAATATGAACTTTGTCTTCCTCTTAACAAAGGGAACTTCTTCTTTACCTCTCTTCTTCCCTCCAGCAGCTTTGGTCAATAATATCCCCCAGGCATTGCCAAGTAGGGTTCCATAAGTCGTAAGCTGTAATTGGCCTTACAACCCTCGTAAGCTGCCAGGAGCCTTACAACTCTCGTAAGCTGCAAGGGGCCTTACAACCCTCGCAAGCTGTCAGGGGGGCGTTACAACCCTCATAAGCTGTCAGGGGTCTTACAACCCTCGTAAGCCGTCAGGGACCTGACAACCCTCATAAGCTGTCAGGAGCTTTACAACCCTCGTAAGCTGCCAGGGGCCTTACAACCCTCATAAACTGCCAGGGGCCTTACAACCCTCATAAGTTGTGACTCAGGGGCCTTACAACCCTCGTAAGCTGCCAGGGACCTTACAACCCTCATAAGCTGTCAGAGGCCTTACAACTCTCGTAAGATGTCAAGGGGCCTTACAACCCTCATAAGCTGTCAGGGGCCTTGCAACCCTCATAAGCTGTCAGGGGCCTTACAACCCTCGTAAGTTGTCAGGGGTCTTACAACCCTCGTAAGCTGTCAAGGGCCTTACAACCCTCAACAACAACAGGTGAGTTAGAGGTTTAGCAATTCAGTTGTAGAATTTTGTGTTCTTCCATGATTCCACAACCTTGTCCCATCCATCACCAGTGTATCCAGTATTGTAAACCCTGGCAATGGATACCCACCTATGGTTCACAATGTATCCAGTGGTGTAAACCCATCCATTACCAGGGTTTACACCACTGGCTACACTATTAAAGGCTTCATTCTAATGTCCAATTGACTGGCAAAGACCAGAATGGGTGAAACATCTCCCAGTAAAGACACGTAGATGTTGCATATATATACAGTGTATTAACCTGTCATGTGTTGTGGGGGTGGGTGTGTGTGGGTGTGTGTGGGTGTGTGTATGGGTGAGTGTGGGTGAATGTGAGTGAGTATGAGTTTTTGTGGGTGAGTGTTAGTGTGTGTAGGTGTGTATGGGTGTGTGTTGAGTGACTGTGACCCAGCAGTGACCGAGGTCATCTTGTGTACAGGAGTTCGTCTTGGACCAGGGTACGTGGTGATGATTGTGCTGTGTCTGCTGTTGCTGCTGGCTGCTTGCTGCGGCTGTGCTGCTGTCCTCAGGTGAGTTACACACACACACACACACACCATTGACAGGTGAGTCTCCTAGCCAGTCACTGCTAGCCACTGCTACCTCCTATTTCTCTTGCTGCTCCTTCATAATAGTCACTCATAGCTTCCTGCTGCCTCTGCTAGCTAGTTATTCCTACACTTCTGCTCCTCTAGTTAGTGACTGTTAGCAGTCATCTAACAAGACTGTCACGTCCAGTTACCTGCTACTGCTACCTTGACAGCTGGCTGGCCAGTTGGTCAGTCAGGTGGCCAGCCAGGTGGTCAGTCAGGTGGTCATCCAGGTGGCCAACCAGTTAGATCAACCCTAATTACCTGCCACTCCCCAGGCGCTGTTTGACCCCCACGGGCTTAGCGCTCCCTGGTGATTAGACTACTAATAATTAATAACCCCAGAGACGTCAGTCATCTTACTGATAACTTTTGTAAGTCAAGACTGACGGTACAGCTGTGTGATGTGACACAGTCATGTGTGATGTGACACAGTCATGTGTGATGTGACACAGTCATGTGTGATGTGACACAGTCATGTGTGATGTGACACAGTCATGTGTGATGTGACACAGTCATGTGTGATGTGACACAGTCATGTGTGATGTGACACAGTCATGTGTGATGTGACACAGTCATGTGTGAGTGACACAGTCATGTGTGATGTGACACAGTCATGTGTGATGTGACACAGTCATGTGTGATGTGACACAGTCATGTGTGATGTGACACAGTCATGTGTGATGTGACACAGTCATGTGTGATGTGACACAGTCATGTGTGATGTGACACAGTCATGTGTGATGTGACACAGTCATGTGTGATGTGACACAGTCATTTGTGATGTGACACAGTCATGTGTGATGTGACACAGTCATGTGTGATGTGACACAGTCATTTGTGATGTGACACAGTCATGTGTGATGTGACACAGTCATGTGTGATGTGACAGTCATGTGTGATGTGACACAGTCATGTGTGTAAAAACTCTTCTGTATTGACTGGTTGACGGTCATCTGTCAAAGACTATTGACTGGTTGACGGTCACCTGTCAAAGACTATTGACTGGTTGATGGTCACCTGTCAAAGACTATTGACTGGTTGACGGTCATCTGTCAAAGACTATTGACTAGTTGACGGTCATCTGTCAGAGACTAATGATTGGTTGACGGACACCTGTCAAAGACTAATGACTGGTTGACGGTCACCTGTCAAAGACTTATGACTGGTTGACGGTCACCTGTCAAAGACTAATGACTAGTTGACGGTCATCTGTCAGAGACTAATGATTGGTTGACGGTCACCTGTCAAAGACTATTGACTAGTTGACGGTCATCTGTCAAAGACTAATGACTGGTTGACGGTCACCTATCAAAGACTAATGACTGGTTGACGGTCACCTGTCAAAGACTAATGACTTGTTGACGGTCACCTGTCAAAATCACTACTTAACCTGTGACGTCATTAGTTATAAAGCTAAATAATGTTAACTTTAACGCTGAATCTCGTTAACTCATGACAAACTATCAGCTTAGACGTTCCTGTTAATAAAGTAACTAACGTCTAGTAGTACCTGTTAATAAAGTAACTAACGTCTAGTAGTATCTGTTAATAAAGTAACTAACGGCTAGTAGTATCTGTTAATAAAGTGACTAACGTCTAGTAGTATCTGTTAATAAAGTAACTAACGGCTAGTAGTATCTGTTAATAAAGTAACTAACGGCTAGTAGTATCTGTTAATAAAGTGACTAACGGCTAGTAGTATCTGTTAATAAAGTAACTAACGGCTAGTAGTATCTGTTAATAAAGTAACTAACGGCTAGTAGTATCTGTTAATAAAGTAACTAAACGGCTAGTAGTATCTGTTAATAAAGTAACTAACGGCTAGTAGCATCTGTTAATAAAGTAACTAACGGCTAGTAGTATCTGTTAATAAAGTAACTAACGGCTAGTAGCATCTGTTAATAAAGTAACTAACGGCTAGTAGTATCTGTTAATAAAGTAACTAACGGCTAGTAGTATCTGTTAATAAAGTAACTAACGGCTAGTAGTATCTGTTAATAAAGTAACTAACGGCTAGTAGTATCCGTTAATAAAGTAACTAACGGCTAGTAGTACTGTTAATAAAGTAACTAACGGCTAGTAGTATCGTTAATAAAGTAACTAAGGGCTAGTAGTATCTGTTAATAAAGTAACTAACGGCTAGTAGTATCTGTTAATAAAGTAACTAACGGCTAGTAGTATCTGTTAATAAAGTAACTAACGGCTAGTAGTATCTGTTTAATAAACGTAAAAAAAAACTAACGGCTAGTAGTATCTGTTAATAAAGTAACTAACGGCTAGTAGTATCTGTTAATAAAGTAACTAACGGCTAGTAGTATCTGTTAATAAAGTAACTAACGGCTAGTAGTATCTGTTAATAAAGTAACTAACGGCTAGTAGTATCTGTTAATAAAGTAACTAACGGCTAGTAGTATCTGTTAATAAAGTAACTAACGGCTATAGTATCTGTTAATAAAGTAACTAACGGCTAGTAGTATCTGTTAATAAAGTAACTAACGGTTAGTAGTATCTGTTAATAAAGTAACTAAACGGTTAGTAGTATCTGTTAATAAAGTAACTAACGGTTAGTAGTATCTGTTAATAAAGTAACTAACGGTTAGTAGTATCTGTTAATAAAGTAACTAACGGTTAGTAGTATCTGTTAATAAAGTAACTAACGGTTAGTAGTATCTGTTAATAAAGTAACTAACGGTTAGTAGTATCTGTTAATAAAGTAACTAACGGTTAGTAGTATCTGTTAATAAAGTAACTAACGGTTAGTAGTATCTGTTAATAAAGTAACTAACGGTTAGTAGTATCTGTTAATAAAGTAACTAACGGTTAGTAGTATCTGTTAATAAAGTAACTAACGGTTAGTAGTATCTGTTAATAAAGTAACTAACGGCTAGTAGTATCTGTTAATAAAGTAACTAACGGCTAGTAGTATCTGTTAATAAAGTAACTAACGGCTAGTAGTATCTGTTAATAAAGTAACTAACGGCTAGTAGTATCTGTTAATAAAGTAACTAACGGCTAGTAGTATCTGTTAATAAAGTAACTAACGGCTAGTAGTATCTGTTAATAAAGTAACTAAACGGCTAGTAGTATCTGTTAATAAAGTAACTAACGGCTAGTAGTATCTGTTAATAAAGTAACTAACGGCTAGTAGTATCTGTTAATAAAGTAACTAACGGCTAGTAGTATCTGTTAATAAAGTAACTAACGGCTAGTAGTATCTGTTAATAAAGTAACTAACGGCTAGTAGTATCTGTTAATAAAGTAACTAACGGCTAGTAGTATCTGTTAATAAAGTAACTAACGGCTAGTAGTATCTGTTAATAAAGTAACTAACGGCTAGTAGTATCTGTTAATAAAGTAACTAACGGCTAGTAGTATCTGTTAATAAAGTAACTAACGGCTAGTAGTATCTGTTAATAAAGTAACTAACGGCTAGTAGTATCTGTTAATAAAGTAACTAACGGCTAGTAGTATCTGTTAATAAAGTAACTAACGGCTAGTAGTATCTGTTAATAAAGTAACTAACGGCTAGTAGTATCTGTTAATAAAGTAACTAACGGCTAGTAGTATCTGTTAATAAAGTAACTAACGGCTAGTAGTATCTGTTAATAAAGTAACTAACGGCTAGTAGTATCTGTTAATAAAGTAACTAACGGCTAGTAGTATCTGTTAATAAAGTAACTAACGGCTAGTAGTATCTGTTAATAAAGTAACTAACGGCTAGTAGTATCTGTTAATAAAGTAACTAACGGCTAGTAGTATCTGTTAATAACAAACGGCTATAACTGTAAAAGTACTGGCTAGTAGTATCTGTTAATAAAGTAACTAACGGCTAGTAGTATCTGTTAATAAAGTAACTAACGGCTAGTAGTACCTGTTAATAAAGTAACTAACGGCTAGTAGTATCTGTTAATAAAGTAACAGAAGAGAATTACCTCTTAATTAATCTTTCAGTAATATTTTAACAATTTCTCTTAACAGTTCTGATGTTTATGACGCAGAGTTGTGTAGGTGCAGTTATCTCGCCCCCCCCGCACCTCTGTCCTCGCCCCCCCCCACACCTCTGTCCTCGCCCCCCACACACACCTCTGTAGGTGCAGTTACCTCGCCCCCCCCACACCTCTGTCCTCGCCCCCCCCACCACACCTCTGTCCTCGCCCCCCCCCCACACACACCTCTGTAGGTGCGGTTATCTCGCCCCCCCACACCTCTGTCCTCGCCCCCCCCCACACCTCTGTCCTCGCCCCCCCCCCACACACCTCTATCCTCGCCCCCCCCACACCTCTGTCCTCGCCCCCCCACACCTCTGTCCTCGCCCCCCCACACACCTCTGTCCTCGCCCCCCCCACACACCTCTGTCCTCGCCCCCCCACACACCTCTGTAGGTGCGGTTACCTCGCCCCCCCCACACCTCTGTCCTCGCCCCCCCCACACCTCTGTCCTCGCCCCCCACACACCTCTATCCTCGCCCCCCCACACCTCTGTCCTCGCCCCCCCCACACCTCTGTCCTCGCCCCCCCACACCTCTGTCCTCGCCCCCCCCCACACACCTCTGTCCTCGCCCCCCCCCACACCCTCTGTCCTCGCCCCCCCCACACACCTCTGTAGGTGCGGTTACCTCGCCCCCCCCACACCTCTGTCCTCGCCCCCCCACACCTCTGTCCTCGCCCCCCCCACACACACCTCTGTAGGTGCAGTTACCTCGCCCCCCCCCCCACACCTCTGTCCTCGCCCCCCCACACACCTCTATCCTCGCCCCCCCCCCCACACCTCTGTCCTCGCCCCCCCCACACACCTCTATCCTCGCCCCCCCCACACCTCTGTCCTCGCCCCCCCCCACACACCTCTGTAGGTGCAGTTACCTCGCCCCCCCCACACCTCTGTCCTCGCCCCCCCCACACACCTCTGTCCTCGCCCCCCCACACCTCTGTCCTCGCCCCCCCCACACCTCTGTCCTCGCCCCCCCACACACACCTCTGTAGGTGCAGTTACCTCGTCCCCCCCCACACACCTCTGTCCTCGCCCCCCCCACACCTCTGTCCTCGCCCCCCCCACACCTCTGTCCTCGCCCCCCCCACACCTCTGTCCTCGCCCCCCCACACACCTCTGTAGGTGCAGTTACCTCGCCCCCCCACACCTCTGTCCTCGCCCCCCCTCACACACCTCTGTAGGTGCAGTTACCTCGCCCCCCCCCCACACCTCTGTCCTCGCCCCCCCCACACCTCTGTATCCTCGCCCCCCCCCCACACCCTCTGTAGGTGCAGTTACCTCGCCCCCCCACACCTCTGTCCTCCCCCCCCACACACCTCTGTAGGTGCAGTTACCTCGCCCCCCCCACACACCTCTGTCCTCGCCCCCCACACACCTCTGTATCCTCGCCCCCCCCACACACCTCTGTAGGTGCAGTTACCTCGCCCCCCCACACACCTCTGTAGGTGCAGTTACCTCGCCCCCCCCCACACACCTTTGTCCTCGCCCCCCCACACACCTCTGTATCCTCGCCCCCCCCACACACCTCTGTAGGTGCAGTTACCTCGCCCCCCCCCACACACCTCTGTATCCTCGCCCCCCACACACCTCTGTATCCTCGCCTTCCCCCCCCCCACACACCTCTGTATCTTCGTCCCCCCCACACACCTCTGTATCCTCGCCTTCCCCCCACACACCTCTGTATCCTCGCCTTCCCCCCACACATACCTCTGTATCCTCGCCTTCCCTCCCCACACACACCTCTGTATCCTCGCCTTCCCTCCCCACACACACCTCTGTATCCTCGCCTTCCCCCCACACACACCTCTGAATCCTCGCCTTCCCTCCCCACACACACACCTCTGAATCCTCGCCTTCCCCCCCCCACACACACACCTCTGTATCCTCGCCTTCCCTCCCCACACACCTCTGTATCCTCGCCTCCCCCCACACACACACCTCTACCATGCTGTTGAACCTCTTTCTCTATCCTCTCTTGAGCTCCCTTTGAACCCCCTGTTCATCTTTCATCCGATGAACCTCTATCAACTCCACTTGGAACCTGACTACCTCTTCCCCTCCCTCCTTCACCCCCTGTCTAAGTCCTCAATATTACTCTAGCTCCTGTCCCCAGGAAGCGTCTCCGACAGAAGGAGATGAGTCGAGGTCCTTACAAGATCCTGCTGGCCTCGTCTGACCTGACCTTGTCCTGCCGACCGGCAGGGGCGCCCAGGAAGGTGGGGGATTATGTCTGCATAGCGGGGTGTGTTCTGTCCGTCTTGGTATGTCTATCTCTCTTCTTCACTCTATGTCCGTCTGTCTCTATCAACCATCTCCGTGTCTAGTCGATTCGTGTGTGTGTGTTTTTTATGTTTCATGTCTTCGTGAATTTTCTTGTGTTTCCCCTTGAATTATGCGCTTCCCTCCCTCCGTTTTCTATTGTGTTTTTTGCGAGATCCGAAGTTCGTTTATATTCATCTGCTTAATGTGGCCGTTTTATTTTTTATGTGATAACGAGAGATTATTTTTCCATGTAGTGAGTGTGACATGCACAATATACTGTCATGTTGGATGCGCAGAACCTGCTATGTTGGATGCGCAACACCCTTCTGTGTTACAGCTGTGAGTGTTTCTGTGCGTGTGTCTGTGTGTCTGCTGCTGCTACTGCTGTTGTCTGCTTGTACCACCAACTCCGCCCCTTTGCTTCTGCTCGGCGTCATCCACAGCGCTACCAGTGTCTCCATCTTGACTGATTTATCATCTTGGTGCGCTGTGTTGAACACTTGCCATGACTGACTCTCCCTGCCAGGACCACCACCAGCCCTTGGTGGTGCTCATTACACCACCACCAGCCCTTGGTGGTGCTCATTGACACCACCACCAGCCCTTGGTGCTCATTAACACCACCACCAGCCCTTGGTGGTGCTCATTGACACCACCACCAGCCCTTGGTGGTGCTCATTACACCACCACCAGCCCTTGGTGGTGCTCATTGACACCACCACCAGCCCTTGGTGGTGCTCATTGACACCACCACCTGCCCTTGGTTGTCATTACACCAACACCAGCCCTTGGTGCTCTTACACAACAGCCTTGTGGTGTCATTACTCACCACCAGCCTTGTGGTGCTGCATCCACCACCGCCCTTGGTGCTCATTAACACCACTCCAGCCCTTGTGGTGCTTCATAACCCACCACCAGCCTTGGTGCTCATTAACACCACTACTGACCTTGGCTGGTGCCATGTAACACACTACCAGCCTTGGTGGTGCCTGCCATTAACACCACCACCAGCCCTTGGTGGTGCTCATTAACACCACCACCAGCCCTTGGTGGTGCTCATTAACACCACCACCAGCCCTTGGTGCTCATTAACACCACCACCAGCCCTTGGTGGTGCTCTTACACACCAGCCTTGGTGGTGTCACACAAGCCTGATGCGCTACACACCAGCCCTTGGTGGTGCTCATCCAACCACCACCAGCCTTGGTGGTTGCTCATTATGGCACCTACGCACCAGCCTTGGTGGTGGTATTGATCACCAGTGACCACCACCTTGGTGGTGTATTGGTCTACAGTTGTGTGTAATGGTCACCAGAACACCACCAGCCTTGGTGTGGTATTAGTGATCACCAGTAACCACCACCAGACCCTTGGTGGTGGTATTAGGGCACCAGGCACCGCCAGCCTTGGTGTGGTCATTAGTGATCACCAGTAACCACCACCAGACCTTGGTTGGTATAGTGGTCACAGTGAACACCACCAGACCTTGGTGTGGTATTAGTGATCACCAGAACACCACCAGACCTTGGTGGTGGTATTGGTCATCATAACACCACACCAGACCTTGGTGGTGGTTTATGGTACACAGTGACCACCACCAGACCCTTGGTGGTGCATTAGTGGTAACAGTAACACCACCAGCCCTGGTGGTGGTCATTAGTGATCACCAGTAACACCACCAGCCCTTGGTGGTGGTATGTGGTCACCATGTAACACCACCAGACCTTGGTGGTATTATGTCACAGTACACCACCAGACCTTGGTGTGGTATTAGTGATCACCAGTAACCACCACCAGCCCTTGGTGGTGCGTATTAGTGCACCGAACACCACCAGACCTTGGGGTGGTATTAGTGGTCACCAGACACCACCAGACCTTGGGGGTATTAGTGGTCACCAGTGACACCACCAGACCTTGGTGGTGGTATTAGTGATCACCAGTAACACCACCAGACCTTGTTGGTGGTATTAGTGGTCACCAGTGACACCACCAGACCTTGGTGGTGGTATTGGGGTCACCAGTCCTTGGTGGTGGTATTAGTGGTCACCAGTAACACCACCAGACCTTGGTGGTGGTATTAGTGATCACCAGTAACACCACCAGACCTTGGTGGTGGTATTAGTGGTCACCAGTACCCGCAGACCTTGGTGTGGTATTAGTGATCACCATAACCACCAGACCTTGGTGGTGGTATTAGTGGATCACCAGTAACACCACCAGACCTTGGTGGTGGTATTAGTGGTCACCAGTGACACCGCCAGACCTTGGTAGTGGTATTAGTGATCACCAGTAACACCACCAGACCTTGGTGGTGGTATTAGTGGTCACCAGTAACACCACCAGACCTTGGTGGTGGTATTAGTGGTCACCAGTGACACCACCAGACCTTGGTGGTGGTATTAGTGGTCACCAGTAACACCACCAGACCTGGTGGTGGTATTAGTGATCACCAGTAACACCACCAGACCTTGGTGGTGGTATTAGTGGTCACCAGTAACACCACCAGACCTTGGTGGTGGTATTAGTGGTCACCAGTGACACCACCAGACCTTGGTAGTGGTATTAGTGATCACCAGTAACACCACCAGACCTTGGTGGTGGTATTAGTGATCACCAGTAACACCACCAGACCTTGGTGGTGGTATTAGTGGTCACCAGTAACACCACCAGACCTTAGTGGGGGTATTAGTGGTCACCAGTGACACCACCAGACCTTGGTGGTGGTATTAGTGATCACCAGTAACACCACCAGACCTTGTTGGTGGTATTAGTGGTCACCAGTGACACCACCAGACCTTGGTAGTGGTATTAGTGATCACCAGTAACACCACCAGACCTTGGTGGTGGTATTAGTGGTCACCAGTAACACCACCAGACCTTGGTGGTGGTATTAGTGATCACCAGTAACACCACCAGACCTTGGTGGTGGTATTAGTGGTCACCAGTGACACCACCAGACCTTGGTAGTGGTATTAGTGATCACCAGTAACACCACCAGACCTTGGTGGTGGTATTAGTGGTCACCAGTAACACCACCAGACCTTGGTGGTGGTATTAGTGATCACCAGTAACACCCCAGACCTTGGTGGTGGTATTAGTGATCACCAGTAACACCACCAGACCTTGGTGGTGGTATTAGTGGTCACCAGTACACCGCCAGACCTTGGTAGTGGTATTAGTGATCACCAGTAACACCACCAGACCTTGGTGGTGGTATTAGTGGTCACCAGTAACACCACCAGACCTTGGTGGTGGTATTAGTGGTCACCAGTGACACCACCAGACCTTGGTGGTGGTATTAGTGGTCACCAGTAACACCACCAGACCTTGGTGGTGGTATTAGTGTCACCAGTACACCACCAGACCTTGGTGGTGGTATTAGTGGTCACCAGTAACACCACCAGACCTTGGTGGTGGTATTAGTGATCACCAGTAACACCACCAGACCTTGGTGGTGGTATTAGTGATCACCAGTAACACCACCAGACCTTGGTGGTGGTATTAGTGATCACCAGGTAACACCACCAGACCTTGGTGGTGGTATTAGTGATCACCAGTAACACCACCAGACCTTGGTGGTGGTATTAGTGGTCACCAGTGACACCGCCAGACCTTGGTAGTGGTATTAGTGGTCACCAGTAACACCACCAGACCTTGGTGGTGGTATTAGTGATCACCAGTAACACCACCAGACCTTGGTGGTGGTATTAGTGGTCACCAGTAACACCACCAGACCTTGGTGGTGGTATTAGTGATCACCAGTAACACCACCAGACCTTGGTGGTGGTATTAGTGTCACCAGTACACCACCAGACCTTGGTAGTGGTATTAGTGATCACCAGTAACACCACCAGACCTTGGTGGTGGTATTAGTGATCACCAGTAACACCACCAGACCTTGGTGGTGGTATTAGTGATCACCAGTAACACCACCAGACCTTGGTGGTGGTATTAGTGATCACCAGTAACACCACCAGACCTTGGTGGTGGTATTAGTGATCACCAGTAACACCACCAGACCTTGGTGGTGGTATTAGTGATCACCAGTAACACCACCAGACCTTGGTGGTGGTATTAGTGATCACCAGTAACACCACCAGACCTTGGTGGTGGTATTAGTGATCACCAGTAACACCACCAGACCTTGGTGGTGGTATTAGTGATCACCAGTAACACCACCAGACCTTGGTGGTGGTATTAGTGGTCACCAGTAACACCACCAGACCTTGGTAGTGGTATTAGTGATCACCAGTAACACCACCAGACCTTGGTGGTGGTATTAGTGATCACCAGTAACACCACCAGACCTTGGTGGTGGTATTAGTGATCACCAGTAACACCACCAGACCTTGGTGGTGGTATTAGTGATCACCAGTAACACCACCAGACCTTGGTGGTGGTATTAGTGGTCACCAGTAACACCACCAGACCTTGGTAGTGGTATTAGTGGTCACCAGTGACACCACCAGACCTTGGTGGTGGTATTAGTGGTCACCAGTAACACCACCAGACCTTGGTGGTGGTATTAGTGGTCACCAGTAACACCACCAGACCTTGGTGGTGGTATTAGTGGTCACCAGTAACACCACCAGACCTTGGTGGTGGTATTAGTGGTCACCAGTACACACACCAGACCTTGGTAGGTGGTATTAGTGAGTCACCAGTAACACCACCAGACCTTGGGTGGTGGTATTAGTGGTCACCAGTAACACCACCAGACCTTGGTAGTGGTATTAGTGGTCACCAGTACACCACCAGACCTTGGTGGTGGTATTAGTGGTCACCAGTAACACCACCAGACCTTGGTGTGGTATTAGTGATCACCAGTAACACCACCAGACCTTGGTGGTGGTATTAGTGATCACCAGTAACACCACCAGACCTTGGTGGTGGTATTAGTGATCACCAGTAACACCACCAGACCTTGGTGTGGTATTAGTGATCACCAGTAACACCACCAGACCTTGGTGGTGGTATTAGTGATCACCAGTAACACCAC